GCTTTATTTTATTCACATTGATGGGGGAGGGGATAGGTGCTCCCCCAAAGGAACACTGAGAGCCTAAAAGGGTTTCTGTCCCCAATTGTCAGACACCAGCAGTGTGTGGATGAACTGTGGATGAAGACCAAATCTAAGAAATATATTTTGGTCATCTGAATGACTATGTATATATACATACACATATATATTTCTTATACATCACAATGTCAAAAAGCCATTACTAGAAAAAGGGAGAATGAATGCTAAACAAGTGTGGATGAGAAAGGGGGTATATCCCAAAGTAACCTCATGGGACGATCTGATTATAGATTCCTAACTGGGAAGGTCATGGTGAATAGTCATGCCCCAGGCATATAACTTATTTAGTGAAAGGTTTATCTTTGCCTTGAGCAAACCCTGTCCATTGTTTCTGTGCATCTGGGTTAACACACTCTTGAAATGCCAGAGGCAATTTTCTTTTCCAGACCCCTTGGAGGCACAACCACCCTCAACATAATCTTGTTAATTATTCTGTACCTCACCTTCTCCCATCTTCATATCATCTTCCTTATGTTCCCTCCTTAAGTCCAAAGATATAAAAGAAGCTGCAAAACTGTCATTCTCCAGAGCATTTGAGATCTTGCTCCCTGGCAATGTCGTCAGTTTGGCTCAGATAAATCCATAGAACACATCTCTACAGGTTTGGACTTTACTTACGTTGATACAGGAGAAATGATAGATGTCCACCACAAGCTCTCAAGTTCTGTTCCACCACCATAGTCATCTTGAATTTTCTGTAAGTCAAAGAAAGTGGCAATAGGAATGAAGTGGAGTGATGGGAGAAATACTTAGGCGGTGGAATGAACAGAACTTGGAGGCTAATTAGACTTGAGGCATCAGGGAGAGAGAGTTCTTGGCTGCAAGCAACAGAAAATGACTCCAACTACTTAAACAAAAGGGAATTTACTTTATGGGAAGATCCTCAGGGATTCACAGCATCAATTAGAAGGAATAGGTTGGAAATAGGCAAAAATTAAGGGCCCCTAGAGGACCAGGAAGGAGGAATTACAGCAGACACTGTGGTTGTCCATCTAATATGCATGTCACTCATCTTCCTTGTTTGCAGAGTCCCAATTTTGGTCCAATGTCCCCTTTACCTCACATGTTTCTGACCTAGCTCCAGGACTGATTCACCTAAGCCAATTATGAAGATCTCCTACCCTGACCACAGATTAGTTTAGGGGTGTCAAGTGACCCAGTTTTGGCCAATGAACCATGAGGGGAGGTATGCTTGAGATTTCTGTTAGGATATTTTCCTCATTTCTAATGAGGATTTACTGGAAGGGAAGGTCCCTCTTCTTCACTGGAGTTTATGTGATTCCTGAAGCTGTGGCAGCCTCTTGTGACTATGAGAGAGTCAGTCTGAAGGTTTGCACACTGAGGACCATAGAAAAGAAAAAGAAGAAAGAACTTGAGTTCTCGATAACATTGTTAAACCACTGAAGGCACTGTTCCTGGAGCCCCTCTACTCTAGATCTCCTGTGATGTGAAATGATGAATTTGAATTTCCTTACTGCTTAAGCTTGGTTTTTCAAAGGCATCCTCACATGCCTTGTAGCAGGGACAATCTGGTCTGGGCACAAGTGGTGCAGTGGCGGACTTCCAACTCTTTTCACAATCCCTGTGTGGCTGCTCAGTCTGGGGAGAGAACACCCATTGGCCAAGTTTAAATCCATTAAAAACAAAATTCAAATGAGTAAATTTGGAGATCTAATTGGCTTTCTTAAGTGATTCATGAATCAGGCAGCATCCCATCTAGCCACTAGAAGAGTGCTCTGAGGGGCTGTACAAAATGGAAGGATTTTGTAGGAAGAAGGGTGAGGCAAGGGACCTATTAGCAAAAGAAAAGAAAGGATTATTTTTGGGCTTGGACGAGAAGAGGAAGGGTTTTTATGACGGAGATTGCCTCTTATTTCTCTAGGGAATGGAGAAGGCCTATGAGACATGTTAGCTTACTGGTGCTTAACCAGAAAATTCCATCCTGGTTGATTAAGATTATGTTTCTGGGAGAGGTTGAAGCTGCAATTAGATCAGGTTTAATACCTAGATTTGATATCATGGGCTTTAGCACAAATGATGCTATTTTAGGGTGTGTGTGTGTGTGTGTGTTTTAAACAGGTCCCTCTGGCTATGTGATGGTAGGGAGAGGGTGATCTGGTCTATTAGGCTTCCACAGTAGGAGATGGTCACTAGAAATCACCCTTTTACCATACAGTGGTAGAGTGGTGACCACCCTCCCAATGAAAACTGGGAAATTAGAGAAAGAGGAAGGAGGATAGATGTGGAACATCCAAATCCCCATGAACATCCATCCTCAGTCCCCATCTCACATTTCCTACAAAGCATCCTGTGCTCAGCACATTCTCAGTCTGAAGTGCTGCACTCAGGTTTCTGTGAAGTTGTATTACTCACTCTGCCTGGAAGCCCTCCTCTCCTCCCCCGCAAACCCTTACTCATTGTGAAGACCTCTTCCACTCTGAAGGAGAGTGGGCTTCTCACCAGGATGAAGGGGCAGATGTGAGACTGGCCCTGGGCCTGGTCTGTACTCAGGTGGAATCAAGAACCAAGATGCTTTCACTTTAATGAGCTTGTCACCTAGTTTCACTTCCATTACGGTCTTAAGTTATCACTTCCTGTTACCTTTGAAAACAACTGTTGAAAAGGTGTCCTTACCTCTCCTGCCCTCCACTTGTTGGGTTTCTTTCCAGGAAGTCTCCCATGGCCTCTCTTCCAGCAGAACTGTAAAACTGCTACATTCTGTCTCTACTTCAGTTCCCACAGATTATTTTGTATCAGTCAGGACTCCTTAGAAAAGTGAGAGAAATCCATTCAAATTGGTTTTATTGGTTCACGTGACTGAGAATTCTTGAGGGTTCTTCTAGTTTTAACATCCAGGTTCTCCATCAAAGTCATCAGGGATCAATCCATCTGTACTAGTTGTCAAATACTAGCTAACAAATCACTCTAAAAATTATGGCTTAAGACAACAATCCATTATCATTCCTCACAGTTTCTGAGGTTCAAGAATTCAGAAGCAATAATGTTATATGTTAATTTTTACCTTAATAAAAACAAAAATTCAGGAACAGCTTAGCTGGATGGTTCTGGCTTGAGGTCTCTCATGAGGCTACAGGCCAGACGTTGGCTGGGGCTGCAGCACCCATTTCCAAGATGGCCTTTTTACATGGCCTTCAAATTGGTGCTGGATGTAAAATTGGTACTTTCTCCCCACACAGCCCTCTGCAGGGCTGCTTGAGTGTCCACAGAGCATGGCAGCTGGCTTCCCTCAGAGTGCGATCCAAGAGACCAAGGCAGAAACTTGCAATGCCTGGGCTTGGTAGTCAAACACTATCACTTCTGCCACATTCTACTGGACACACAGAACAGTTCTGACTGAGTGTGAGAAGAGACTATACACAAGGGCATGAATCATAGGGGATGAGGATCACTGGGGACCATCTCGGAGATGCCTCCCACAGCGTCCCTGATCCTTCCTTCCTTACTCGATCTGTTTTTCCTATGTGTAGGCTTCATTGTCAGGCAGCCCCTCCCAAGCAGTGACAAAGATGGTCATCAACATCTCTAGACTCGCATTCTTAGAGACTCCAGTGGGAAGAAAATACATCTTTACCCAAAGTTCTGGTGAAAGTCCCACAGCTGACTCTGGCCAATCTTGTGTCTGTCCATTCCCTGAACCAATCACTGTGGTCTACAGATGCCAGGCTCTTATTGGTCAGATTGAGGCGACACTTCCAGCCTGACACTGGAGTATAGAGTCTACGGCACTAGAGACTCACGGGGGACTAAAGGAGTGGTTCCTAAAGGAACAATCAAGGTGTCATTACTAAACCAAGGTTAGTGGATGTTGATCAGGAAAATGACATGTGTTTACCCCATCTCCCTCCTTTATACTCCAAGGGCACATTTTAGCCCCCTTGCTTTAGCATTTTTCCTCATGGGATCATTTACTTTCTTGGTTCACTTTCTGTGGTTGGTAGAATTCAAAGATGGCCCCCAACATTCCCACCCCCTGGTATACACTTACCTTCTCCCAGTTATTCAATCAAACACTAATCTAGCTGTTTCTATGGAAGAATGATGCAAATGTAATTAAAGTCCCAAATCAGTTGACCTTAAGATAGGGAGACTATCTTTGGCGAGCATGACCTAATCAGATAAGTCCTTAAAAGGGACAGGATTCTTCCTGGCAAAGGAGATTCAGCATGTGAGAGAGAGAGTCAACATGGGGGAGACTCTCTGCTGCTGGCTTGGAAGATGGAGGGGGCCACATGGCAAGAAATGCAGGCAGCCTCTAGAAGCTAAGGGTGGCCCCTGACTGACAACCTGCAAAGAAACAGGGACCTCAGTCCTACAAATGCCAGGAACCAAATTCTGCCAACAATTCTAACAGCTTGGAAGTAAATTTTTCCCCAGAGCCTCCAGAGAACTCAGCCTTGGCTTCAGCTTTGTGATACTCTGAGCAGAAAACCCAGTCATGCACTGATGGACTTCCATCCTACTGATTTGTGAACTTATAAGTGGATATTGTTTTAAGTTATGAAGTTTGTGATTCATTTTATGTAGCAATAAAAAATGAGCATACCTCCCAATGGACTCTAAAATCCATACAGCAGGGAGCATCTCTGGGGTTTCCTTAACCTCCTCATCCCCAATGGGACCTGGAGCACAAGAAGTCCCCTTTCTGCTTGCAGTCCCACTCATCTGGGAAAGAGATGGAGGAACCCAGCTCCTTATAATTCTACCCCAATGCTGAAACTCCTCCACTCTTGAGAGCCTACCAAGCAAGCTGCTTTGCTTGGCTTTCTGCAAACAACCCTGTGCCCCAGCTGCCCAGGAGGGCAGCTGGACCAATTTCCGCTCCCCAGGACTCAGAGACCTTTGGCCAACTCTATTGATCTGGACTCCTGGGCAGGTAGTTGGACCAACAGACAGACGCCATGAGGGCTGTGCTGCTTCTGGGGTCCCTGCTGGTGAGCCTGGAATCAGCACTTTTGGTGAGAGCTGTGGGAACTAGGAGGATTGTGCTGGGATGGCCCTAGGGGGTTCCTATACAGCTTTGGCCTTTACCAACGACCTATTGGTCCAGGTGACAGGAAGGGCCTGTGTGGAAAAATGAGGCCAGCCCAGAATGCCCAAGTGGAGGAGAGAGACAGTGGATATGAGGGCATGATCTGCATTTCTGGAGGACAGCAACCTTAAGGAGGGAGGAGGAAGGGGTCCAGGTCTTGTGAGGACATCTCTGCATTTGTGGGCTGTGAGAAGAAGCTGGAGACTGGCGTGGAATCAGGGGCAGGCTATGACTTTCTGGGCAAGTTCCTTGCCCCTTCTCTCCTCCTGTAGACTCCACCTCGGAAAGCTCCCATGGTGCCTAAGCATGTCATGGACAGACACACCATGGGGGACAAACACACAGTGGGTAAGTAACCTAGCTCCACCCTCTAAGATACCCCTACCCTTGGGTGGAAATGAGTATGATTGGGAGTGCGCCAAACGTCGGTCTCTTGGGTCAAGGGGCAGGACCCTGGGCATACCGTCACTCTTGTCCCCAGAGTCCTCTGGCTGGCATTCAGACCTGAGTGCCTGCTGTGTGCCAGGTCTGTGCCCATGAGCCCTGGGGGCACAGAGTGATAGTTAGCTGTGCGCTCCTTGAGGGCAGGGCTTCGGCTATATCTGAATGCCCAGTCCAGTGCCTGCCAGTCTTCCTCAGTTTCCCCAGCCTCCCCGCTCCTTTTCCTTTCTTCAATACATCTCATAGGCATCAGTTATGCCATAGAGAGGCCAGGGCCATCAATGGACAAGGAAAGATCAACAACACGGCTCTGGAGCCCAAATGAATCTTTATGAGTTGGGTGACTCTGGACAAGTGCCTCGACCTCTTCAAGCCTCAATTTCCCCATCTGTAAAACCGGGCTGATCACAATAAACCTCTTTGGGTTGCTGGGAAGGAGAAATGAGTCATAAACCCATGTAAGGCATTCAGCCTACCACCAGGTGCATAGTAAATGCTTAAAATATATTAGCTTTTCTTATTAAGCTCCTTTTTATGTGGGGAATGTCGGCCAGCTCTCCCCTCCTCAAACTCTGACTTAGCTCCACATTGCCTTCATTCTTCCAGGCACTAAACATTCACTTAGAGTTGTGAAGGCACCTACCCTGATGAGCCTGGCCTGGTAGAGTCTGGCCCAGCCCCTTAGCATGGCACTGAGGCCCAACACATCCAGCTCTGACTGCCTCAGCTTACTCTCTGCACGCTGCACCAAGCCAGACTGCTCTGCCCTCTTGCCTGATCCAACCTGGGTGCCTTGCCCTTGCCCAATCACCTACTCAGGATGATCCTCCTTTCTGTCCATCCTATTTGCATCTAAAAAGTCCATCTCAGACCCCTCTCTCTTCCTTTACTGTTCTACCACTGGTTTGGCCCTCAGCGAGTACACTGTGCCTTTAACAACAAAATAGTAGCTAATGCTTATTGAGTAGGTACTATGTGCCAACCTGTGTCTTATAGGATTATCTTATTTAAACTTCACCAGACTCTTTTGAAGTAGATACAGTCAATTCTCATTATTTGTGGTAATCATGTTATCTAAAGTCACCATGGACACTGAATTAGCAAATATACTGAAATATAGGGTTGGGTTCCTATGAGCCTCTGGTCACAACGTTTTCATCAACCATCAATATACAACCTTGTTTTATGTGTGGTTCTGTTTAAAGACGCCTTGCTTAATTTACGTGTTGATTCATTAACATTGAACTCACAGCCAAAGGCACTATAACTTATGCCTAGACGAAACTTATCTAAGACACATATCTTCTCCATAAGGCACATCACAGCCCACTTGCATTTCAGAATATTTGACGGCACTTTGGCGCTATTTTGGGGGCCATCTTCAACAGTGAAATCACCTACCAAAATGTGAAAAACATGGCAGTAAATAGACCGTGAAAAGACACTTGTTTATAGTAGGAGAGCTGAAACCAGAAGCAGAGTGTCACCTAGTTTGACCTCAATTGGGAATGTGCGTTTCCGAAAACTCAGATTTTTTACCAGTCTGTGCATGTCTCTGAATGATCGTGAAAGCCCCTTGAGAATTGGTTTGGGGAGTTACAAATAAATTTTAGCAAGAAGGCAGATTCACAAATACAGAATCTGTGAATAATGATGCTCGGTTGTACTATTTTTAAAAATTATAATAGCAACATCCTTTTATTGCCAAAAGTTTAGAAATTACAGAAGTGTAGAAGAGGAAAAAAGTCATCTATAATCCATTATCTTCCAAAAACCGCTTTTATAAAGTTTGAGAATGTCCTTCTAGATTTCTTTTTTATGCGTATGTAAATGCATGTGTACAAAAATAGGACCATACTAACATGCTGTTTGTAACGTGCTGTTCTTCATTTAAAATTATGAACACCTTTCTGTACTAATATATATAGATCATCATTTAAAAATGTCTTTATTGTAGTAAAATACACATGATATAAAATTTATGATCTTAATCACTTTAAGTGTACAATTCAGTGGCATTAAGTACATTCATATTGTGCACCCATCACCACCACCCATCTCCAGAACTCTTTTTATCTTGCAAAACTGAGACTCTTCAACTGCACTATTATTGTCAGTTTATAGAGAAGAAACTAAAGCTCAGAGTAGTCAAGTGACTTTGACATTTAACAAGTATTTATGAAGTACCACTTTGTGGCAAACCCTCTCCTAAATTGGAGGGGCGAGGCTGCAGACTTGCCCAAGGTCACACAGCTAGTAGGTGCTGGAGTTGGGGTCCGCTCCAGCTATCTGACTCTGAAACCCAACTTCTTAAGCAGGACACTTGAAAGCATAATGATCTTTTTAAGGGTCTACTCTTTTCCAATTAGACTCTGGGGGTGGTGCCTGGGAGTTTGGGCATAGGGAATGTCCTCAGAGAGTGTGTTATCCCTGCAGTTCTCACTGTCACTGGGGAGCCCTGCCACTTCCCCTTCCAGTACCACCGGCAGCTATACCACAAATGCACCCCCAGGGGCCAACACGGTCCCCGGCCTTGGTAAGATGACCCCGAAGGTGTTAAAGCAGGGTCCTGGGGAGATGGACTCTGCCCATCCTTCTGCCCAAGGAACCCTGCTTGGAGAGAGGGGGCTGTGACAGGGAAGGGCATGCCAGCCCCATGTGCAGAGCAGAGAGCCTTATCTTTTTCTCTAGGTGTGCTACTACCCCTAACTTTGAACAGGACCAGCGATGGGCATACTGCCTGGAGCCCAAGAAAGCGCAAGGTACCATACACAGTTTCTGAGGTGGCCCAAGGCCCTCTCCTTCCCCCTACTTACTCTCCTGGGTATCATCAGACCCTACACACCTGGGATTCTGGGCCCACTCAGCCCCTTTCCTCTTTCCAGAGGGAGAAGTTCTGGGAGGGTGTAGCCCCATTTTGCAGGTGGGTAAACTAAAGCCTGGAAACAAGGTCATAAGACAAGCTGGTTTGGGTATGGACTTGGCTCCCATCTGTCTGACTCTTCCTCCCACTGTGGTCCATCTCTCAGACCACTGCAGCAAACACAACCCCTGCCAGCGGGGAGGGACCTGTGTGAACACGCCAAGAGGCCCACACTGCATCTGTCCAGAACACTTGACCGGGAAGCATTGCCAGAGGGGTAAGGAGGGCCATGGAGGAGAGCTGGGGAACAGGAGCAGCCCCACTTACTGAAGAGGTCCCTGGAGACTTGGCATGGTTCCAGCCTCTCCAGAGACCACCAATCCACTCTGTCCCCAGAGAAGTGCTTCGAGCCTCAGCTTTTCCAGTTCTTCCATGAAAATGAAACATGGCTTAAACTTAAGCCGGCTGGTGTGGCCAAGTGCCAGTGCCAGGGTCCCCAAGCCCACTGCAAGCCACTGGCCAGCCAGGGTGAGTGGAACCATAGGAACTGACTGCAAGCAGGGCCAAGGGTCAAAGGTCGGGAGCAGCTGGCAGGAGCCCAGGTAGTATACCTGTGGAAGGGGGAGAGCTCTCTGCCAGGTCTTTGGGCCCAGATGTGGCTCAGTGTGCTTCTTTCCTAGTCTGCCCCACCAACCCGTGCCTCAACCAGGGCCGCTGCCTGGAGGTGGATGGCCATCAGCTGTGCAGTTGCCTGGAGGGTTATGCAGGTCGGAACTGCGATGTGGGTGAGTTAGGGCAGGGGTCACCACCCCCCCCCACCCCCGCAGACCAGTACTGGTCTGTCACCTGTTAGGAACTGGGCGGCACAGCAGGAGGTGAGCGTCGGGCTAGCAATGGAAAGCTTCACCTGTATTTGCAGCCACTCCCCAGCGCTAGCATCACCGCCTCAGCTCCACCTAATATAATCAGGCATTAGATTCTTAAGGAGCACGGGTCCCTGGTGCCAAAAAGGTTAGGGACGGCTGAGTTATGGTCTAGGGGGAAGCAGAAGCCCCGTCCCACGTGGGGACGGCTTGCAGAGAGGGACGAGAGACATTAGGGAAAGTGGCTGAGAGGGCGGTGGAAGATAGTACCATCCCCTGGCTACAGGGAGTCTCTTCTCTCCCCAGACATTAAGGCGAGCTGCTACCACGGCCGCGGGCTCAGCTACCGCGGCACAGCTGACACCTCGCTCTCTGGAGCACGGTGTCAGCCTTGGGCCTCAGAAGTCACCTACCGGAACCTGACTGCAGAGCAAGCACTGAGCTGGGGACTCGGCCACCATGCCTTCTGCCGGTGAGCCAGGTGGGGCGGGGCAGAGGGCATCCTCCTCCTCCCCAGGGCCCTCTGGGATTCCCCACGCTCTAACACTGCTCCCTCCTGTGGTTACAGGAACCCGGACAATGACACCCGCCCGTGGTGTTTTGTGTGGAGCGGCGATCGGCTGAGCTGGGAATATTGCCTCCTGTCACCGTGCCAAGCCCCAACCCGGGCAGCGCCCCAGATGCCCCAGGGGCGCCGAGACTTCCCACTGCCCTCGCTTTCTGCATTGCAGAAGCCTCAGACCACGACCCAGACCCCGCCTCAATCCCCGATGTTAGCTAAGGAAGGGGCGGGAAGTCCGAGCAGAGAGGACAGCGGCCGAGCTACGTTTCAGCCGCTCCTGAATCTCCCTGGTCTCAGTACGGGCTTCCCCACAGCCTCGCGCGCGATGCCGGAGCAGCGGACTCCCTTGCCCACTAAGGGCCCGGCGGGCTGCGGACAGCGACTCCGGAAACGGCTGTCCTCAATGAGCCGCATCAGCGAGGGACTGGTGGCGCTGCCCGGCGCGCACCCCTACATCGCAGCGCTGTACTGGGGCCACAATTTCTGCGCCGGCAGCCTCATCGCCCCCTGCTGGGTGCTGACCGCAGCTCACTGCCTGCAGAACCGGCCAGTACCGCTCGCCCAGCGTCAGCCTGGACCGGCTCCTCTCCTTTGTGCCCAGCTTCCGCGCGACACCCGAACCTGTGCCTCCCCTCACCCCTTTCCCCTCCAGAGCTCCCCAGGAGGAAGCCGAAACCCAGAAAGGGGCTTGGGAGCAGGGAGCGGGGAGGGGGCTCCTCTAGGCAGCCGGCGGCCGGTTCTGAGCGCGCGTCCTGCCCGCACCATGCCCGCAGGCCGGCGCCGGAGGAGCTGACGGTGGTGCTGGGCCAGGACCGCCATAACCAGAGCTGTGCACAGTGCCAGACGCTGGCCGTGCGCACCTACCACCTGCACGAGGCCTTCTCGTCCATTACCTACCAGCACGACCTGGGTACGTGGGGGCTCCCCGCGGGATCAGGGAAACGGTGGGGAGGGCTAGGAATAAGACGTCCCGGACTCACGATCCTCCCTGTCCGGGTTAGCGATACTGCGCCTGCAGGAGAGCGCGGACGGCAACTGCGTGCGCCTGTCGCCTTCGGTTCAGCCCGTGTGCCTTCCCAGCAGCGCCGCCCGCCCCGGCGAATCCGAGGCCATGGTCTGCGAGGTGGCCGGCTGGGGCCACCAGTTCGAGGGTAGGCAGAATGACTGAAGGCGGGAGGGAGACCTCTGGTCTACCGGGTAGGCCAGAGAAGCCCGCAGCTTTGGTACCACTGGAGGCCAGAGGCACTGAACTGGTGGGTTATGAGGACATGCAGGGCCCTTGTCTCTGCAGCTCGCTCCTCTCAGGGCCTGAGATTCACCCTCAAATCTCCTGAGGGGTAAGGAAAGAAAGACACTTTCTCTTGGTTCACTCTGGGCACTGGACGGCAAGGCTAACTAGGACACCGCCCCGTGCTCATGCAGGGTGGATAGCTGGAGAGCAAGGTTCTGAGACGCTGGCTGGGAAGAGGGTGGGCTTCCAAAACAGCCCTGCCCAGCCCCGCCCATTCACATCCTGCTCCTCTCCGGCCTGTTTCTTGGTCTGGGAAATAGGGTTGTCGGCAGTTCCCTCTCTCACGAGCTTGCTGTGAGGGAGGTAGGAGATTAGTGGGTTTGGAAGAGCCTGGTGCAGCCAGGTCCATGGCCCTAGCATTGAGTGGAGTCGGTGTGAGGAAGGCTCTCTCGGTTTGCAGGGGCAGAGGAATATTCCACCTTTCTGCAGGAGGCACAGGTGCCCCTCATCTCTCAGGAACGCTGCTCTGCCCCTGACGTGCACGGCACCGCCTTCGCCCCTGGCATGCTCTGTGCTGGCTTTCTAGAGGGTGGCACCGATGCGTGTCAGGTGAGCTTTTGGGCGGGCTTGGCACTCTCCCCCCAGCCGGTCGAGTGCAGACCCCAGGCCAAGCTCGCTGAGCCTCCTGTCCCTGACCCAGGGTGACTCCGGGGGCCCGTTGGTGTGTGAGGATGAGGCCGCAGAGCACCAGCTCATCCTGCGAGGCATCGTCAGCTGGGGCTCGGGTTGTGGTGACCGCAACAAGCCAGGTGTGTACACTGACGTGGCTTACTACCTGACCTGGATCCAGGAGCACACCAATTCCTGACTGCCCACGAACTCTTCTTTTCTTCTTAGCCAATTCTGGAATGAGAGGGTGGCTGGGCACGATCCTGGACAGCAAGGATTGTGTCCCAGCACCGCCAGCCCAGCGGCAGGCATGGTGTGGGCACTCAATAAAATGCTTTTGGAAATGCTTGAGAGACACAGCTCTTCGGGGGGCCTGCTAGGAAACGCGGAGACAGTAAACCAGTGTACAGCTGCTGCACATCCCTCAGAACAGAATCTATTGAGATCTTATGCAAGATTTAGATTCGCATCCAGCTGACATATACTGAGCCATGTGTACTGACTGAGCCCAGTGCTAGGTAACTCCACGTCTTATTCCTTGTATGAAACTTAATATTTTAAGTTTATAAGAGAAGTTCTCAACCTTGACTATACATCAGAATCACCTGGGAAGCTTTTTGAGCCTATGCCTGAGATCCACCTCAGATCAATTAAATCAGCATATAGCTCTTAGGGATGGGGCATGCGTAGTTGTGTGTTTTAAAAACGTGCAGCTGGGTTTGAGAACTGTGGTTGGAAATGCTTAACCTTAAAGTAGTGGTGTGGACTCTTGGGGCTGGCGATGGAGGTGGAAGACCTTCACTCCAGCCCAGCCCGCACTAGGGCAGTGGGTTTCAAAGTCCCATCCCTGGACCAGCAGCAGCAACTTCACCAAGGAACTTGTTTAAAATACCTATTTTTGAGCTACACTCCATACTACTGAATCAGAAACTCTGAGTTGGGGCCCGGGAATCTGGTTAACAGCTTTCCAAGAGATTCTAATACTCCTAACGTTTGAGAACCACGTTCTGGGGGTGGAATGATTTCCGGCCTGAAGAGGTCCCACTATTCAGACGTGTCATCATTTTGTTTTTAAATCCATGTGTACTGTGCTCGGTGGACCATTTAAGTTGGTTTTTGAGGATTATTTTAACTCTCACACGATCCCCTCCTTCAGGCTAAATTTATAACTTCACCAGGAGTAAGATAGAACTCCCACCTCCATTCTCCAGCAGTACAAAGTGGCTCTGTGAATTTGCCCCGCCTCAACGTTACAACCCCGCCCTCACATACGTCACAATGCCCTGGGTGTCGTAGGCGGG